TATCTGATAGAGGTGTATTGAGCTAAAGGAAAATAAAATAGATGGCTGATTGAAAAGATTTTTAAAAATAATACCTGGAGGAAGAAGAAAACTAGTTTATAGTTCTAAATTAACTTATCTTAAAATAACATACTACCATTCACTTTCAAATAACAAAATCAAAGGTATTATGCACACATTCCTGAATATAATTCATTTAGATTTTAAAGAAAGTATAGACTGTACAGGTAAATTTCTAAAGCTAATAGTAAAATCATATTCAAATTTGGAGTATCTTAATATATCTGCTTTATACGAAGGATTTAAATCAGAAAATGATGAAAGCCTATATGCAATTATGAATTCATATTATAAATTAGAATATCTAAATATTTCTAAATGTATAGAGTTTTCTGAAATATTAATTTGTAATATTATTCATTCTTGTCTAAGACTTCAGCATCTCAATCTTAGCTTTTATAAAATTACCGATATAACTATCAAAGAAATTGCTAATTCATGTCTTAATTTAAAGTATCTTAATTTGAAGAGGTGTTATATAATTAGTAAAGAAGCTGTAAATCAACTCATTTCACTTAATCCAAATATTCATATTAAGAATTTTATAGAAACTTTAACATCTTCTGATTTTATTAATACATTTAGTGATTTTCTATGCTAATAATTAAAATTCAGTTCTATTTCAGGTATTCCAGCAACCTGATTCTAATAAATTTATAGCTAGTCAATCTCTGACTCAAGGTATTATTTTCACCTTAATATCGAGAGCTGGTGATAGAATACTAGCTAATCAAGCAGAATAGTACTCTATCAATCTAACTAATCTAGATTAGTAATTAGTTCAGAAGATTTTTTTGCTGAGTCATGCACAATGCCTTCAGCTAGATTGTGTGATAAAAAAATAAGTAGATTATCAGTCAGGTCTTGTGCAACAAAAAAAATAAATTAGCTAAACATAGGTGCTAGCTGAATTCTACACAAATGACATAATTGAAATAATGGTAGTCTCTTCAAAAAAATAAAACATTTTACTTTTCTCTTGACTGCGTCTTCAACAGAAAATATTTAGACGTGTTAATACCTAATAAAGGTAAGGAACTATTAGAAGTTTTAAAAATACGCTCTTGCATTTTTATTAGCTTTTCTAATTCACCTATTTCCTGATCAGAATGACCAATAATACTAAGAACATTCTAAATTATGCTTATATTCTCTTCCAAATATAAAAACAAATGATATAATATTCTAAGTGACCTTTTCTCATATGTTTCTTCTTCAAGATCATGCATATTATTATATAATATAGTAAAAATAGGGTGGCAAGCTATATTGAGATCTTTTCGTATATTTATTAATTTTCCTACTAAATTAAATAATAGCCCAAATGAATCTTCAAGTGTTTTTCCTTTTTTGCTTTGATTCAATGCTGTTTGATTTCTATTCTCAATAGGTTCCTTTCCCTAATTTGAAAACATACTAAGTTTTATATGAATAGCTATTATATCTTTCTTCTTATATAAAAGCTTACTATATAATTGAGCATTAACTTGATCAGAATTATTATTAGTATTGTTTGTCATGATTGTGTTTACCTCTAATAAAATACATTCAATTTAGAGTCTGAAATAGTGCTCATCAGCTTAGAATAGTGATCGCCAGCTTGGAAGATTTACTACTAAGCCAGATTGTGTGACTAAAATATGTGAATCACAGGATAGGTCTGTGTGATATAATAATTTTCATATAATCTAAAAAAGAAAAACATATTAACTTTTGTTCTTAGCAAAGCGTCTTAACAGCTATTTTTTCCTGAACAAACATGAGAAATATATGAAAGAAGGTTTATACGTAACATAGGACCTACTGTAAAAGTAAATACTGACAGCAAAAGCATATACTATAAAGGGCTAAGGACTTTGAAATTTCAAGATCATCAGGCGTAAAACTAACTATATGTCTTTCTGGTAGATCTACATATGAAAAGGTATGTGGATTCCATTTACATGTGCTTTTATAGAGCTCTTGGCATTATATGATAATACTAATCACTGTTCTTATTTTCTTATCTTTTTCTTCCCAATAGCAAGATATAAAAAGCATGTGAGAGTATATAGAAGTTCAGCTAACTTTCACAAAAAAACTTTTTCATAGAAAATGACATAAAATAAGGTATGTGCTATATATGCCAGATATTATGTATGTATGGAAATGAGTTTTCTTCACCATAGTTTCTTGTATTTAGGAAACGAAAATGACTTACAAGAGTATTATCAATCTTAAGTGTTGCCTCCAGGATAGTGAGAATAAAATAACTTACATAATCTCACCCTGCAAGGAAGATAAGGTCACTATTCTTGAATTTGCTATTAAAACTCTATTAGCAAATTAAGGTTACCAAGCTCTTTCCCTCAACTTCGACCTCTATGTGAATGATCCTGAGAAAGATAAACCCATAGAATCAGCAAAAGAGATCTCTAAGTATTTCGATAAGCCTCTCATTCAGAATCAAATTTACATTCTCATAAAACCTAAAAGTAATTAGTATTTTTTATTTGCATTATGTAAAGAAATATAAATTATTTTTTATGTATTATTACCTAGACTTCTGACAACGTTTTTTATTTCATAAATAAAGTATTATTATTTTATTGAATGTATATGATAATTGGGTAGGTGACATAATAATCGTATCATAATAATAACAATGTCTTAGCATTTAAAGATCAATCATATAGATACGTAAGATACGATCCATTCAATACTCATTAAGATTCTAACCTTTTACAGGATCAGCTAATACATCCAAAAGACCATTATGTTCCATCAGTTCAAATGCATTAGATCCAGAGAATGTGCTAAATAAGCCATTTTTTTCTTGTTCAAATAAATTTAGAAAACATCTGGTAAATTCCCTAAGTATAATATTTCGATGGCAAGTCAACTGGATTTGATAAGCATTTTTCAAGCATCTTTCTCAAAATGAGTTAAATAATCCCATCTGGTATACATTTTGCTTGGGTTTTAATAATTGTCTTGATCATCATCAGTCTCAAATTCATCATTATTGTCATAATCATTGTCTTTATCTGCCTCGATTTTGTCATACCCATCAATTACCTCTACTTCTTCATCATTTATTAATCCTAGAGCCTTCAAAAGTTCGTGATCTCTGTTCACAGAACTAAGACCAAAATCGATTAGTAAGTTTTGTTGCATAGATACAGTTTGTATTAGAATACATTAACAATACTTATCTTTAATTTAGCGTTCTAGAGCCTCTTCGATTAAAAACAGTAGCATAAATTAGAATTGCGTAAAATTAAATATCTGCAGAATAATCACGTGAAATGATCATCTAAAATGTGCAGTACAATATCTTGCTAAGCTGATTCGTATATATTATTTTTTATTCTGATAGATGATCCTGAAATAGACAAATTTTTCTCAGAATAATCTCATTCTCAAAATGCTAAAGCGAGATCAAAAAAAAGAAAGGTAAGTATTGTATTCTTATTGTATTGTAAGTTCGAGACTGGAAGAAGATTCATCCAACTAACTATTACCTTGCATTGTAAAAGAAAAATTCTTTTTGGGATAGTTTCTTGACATGTAATGATAGATGAATTCCTCTCGATCATCACAGGGTAGTGAAACATATAAGAAGCGGAAGAATCTATTCCCGAATCAAGACATATCTTCAGAATCATGGATTTAGCTTATTTTTTTCTCAAATTTTCCCATATGCTAGTTTATCATAATCAGATTAATGATTTTAATCATCCAATTCAATTCTTAGACTACTAAAAAACATAAAAGAAGTAGAAACATTTGATTAGTTTTTATCTGTATTATGTTAAAATTGAGAAATACTAATCAATATAATACTTATCTTTTCATCGATGGTTCTAATTTCATTTATGACCATCATTTTGAGATTTTGAGAATAACCTTAGGGAGCATTTCGGGTTATATACTAATTTTATTTTAATTTCGATAAGTGAAAAAATATTTATATAGGAAGAAAAAAGTGGAAAATCTTCCTTATATTTTAATAGTATGGCCAAGCAAACTTTTAGCAAGTTCTAATTTTATACGTAATAAAATTAGTAAGATTCCTCTGAAAGATCTGGTACTATAAAAACAAGCGAAAAATTACATGGCTTTTTTTTCGGAAACATTACCATGGAAAATCAAGAGAACTCAGCTAAAAAAAGAATATTATTACAATCAGTTCTTTAAGATGCTTATGGGTGATAGGCAAAACAATATATATAGGTGGTAAGCAAAAGGTTTAATTTGATATTAAGATTTAGAAGAGTGTTGATAAATTAACAGTTTATTTAATAATTATAACAATAGAGTATTACCTCAGTCAGCGCTCTGTACTATACAATTATGTTAAAGGGATTAAACTAAACTATTATATAAAACTATAAATCAGACACACTACTAAGCTAAAGGAAATTGTCTTCTATTTATATAAAATGAAAAATATAAAGTTATCGAAGATATAAAAGAAATAAATATGATAAATAAAATATATAAAATAAATAAAATATAATAAATATATGAGATAAATAAGATAAAATAAATAAAAGAAATATAATATATAAAAGAAATAAATGCTATAGATATCATAGATTACATAGAAGACATATATGATTTCTTAGGGATTGACATCATCATTTAGATCATCATCATCTATGTCTTTTTTTGTATAACAATACTAATTTGGAGGGTATCATAATCATCTCTACTCAAAGCAGTAATATTTATAATATGCAACTAGCCCGCAACAGAGCTCTAAACATACTTGCATTAAATATATTAAAGTATTTCCCAGAGGACAATCTTCGCGAGAAGCTGGATTTTTCATTGATTAAATTTAACAATACTATTCTGGATTATGAGCCATATGGAAAATATGATAATCCCATTTAACAGAGGCCCCACCTAGATTGCTTGTTCTAAATATTTGTGATGATATTGGTTCATGTAACATGGCCGATATTAGTGATCCATTATTACCTTTTCAATACAAAATTGTTGATGATAATAGTGTAGAGGAAGGTGCAAATAATTCACAAGATAAGGTTGTGATTTCTACAATCCTAAATGAATCCTACAAATGGTCAAATGTGAAGAATACCTCTAGCAGAAAAAAAATGAAAGTTAGGAGGGATCGAAAGTCACATTGATGAATCACCTATGTTGAAAAAACTTATTGAGGAGTTGAGTACTTCTTCAAGTTCTGATAAGGATAACTCAGAATCACAACCTAAAACTTCAGAGAAGTTTTACCAATTTGTATAATGCAATAATCGAGGCTGAAGAGAGAATCGGGAGTACAAATCAAGAAATTCTTAAACTTGAGGATAGATTTGTTATCTATAAAAATTTTATAGAGGTCAGGGAAGACTAAACTATGAATTTATGAAATACATTCCACTTTTAAAAAATGTATTTGAGATGAAAGTAGAAAAAGATCAGAAGATTTGAAATTCAGCAAAATATTTGAACTTTATTTTGAATTATTTGCAAATGTATATAATATGCTATTTTTATCATCTGTTTATCTATCTATATAAATAAAATATATATGAAAAAAATTGATCATTTAATTCATGTCGTATATAATACCAACTTCATTTAAGGACGAGTAAGCATATTAAGCATATCATTAAATTCAAGCGTCCATCCACACCTAAGAGATAAGTACTCATTCCAATTCATTATATAATAAATCAGATTTTGATTAGCATCTCAATAAATTATGTATAGAGCTTGATTAGATCTTTGATTTCGTTGTTGAGTCGCCAGAACTGTGAATGCCTCAGGAAAAGAATTTTGATGAAAGTGATTATTTGAATTAGAAAAAGTAATTTTAATAAATTTGATCGTATGATTTGTTTGCTGAACATTAGCAATTCTCTCTAATGCGTTACTACGATCTGGATCTTGATTATAAAATACCTGCAAGGTTCAAACCTGATAAGTAAAACAATTTACAATTCTTTTCTGTAAGAATTTATTTACTTCTATGTATACATTTGGTGATGGATACTAATTTGTAATTGGATGACAACGTTGTGCACACTGTAATACTTGAAACCAGATGCCAACAACAGGTTTATAACTATTGCCTTCAGCCACACATATTATATTTAATGATATGAACTAAGTTGGATTATGTATCCTAGCTGAAAATGCAAGTTTAAGTTAAATATCTTCTTTTTCTTTTCTATTGCACTAAATAAATTGGTCAGATTTAATAATAATACAGTAAATGTAAATGTAGTTCAGAATAAAACTTACCTTAATAAATATGTCACCATTGATTATTTGAGTATTATAATTATTATGTATGACTTCACGTATGTGTTTATCAAATTTTTCAAGATTTGGGATATTGATCTTTATAATGTTTTGACCTTTTATTTGCGTTAATGAGTCATCAATCTTTGCAAAGATCTATCATACTTCGTTAGCCATAAAATGCCATTTCTTAATTTTGTTTTAAACATCACTTAAATATTTGATTAATTTTGAAGGCTTGTCTGGTCTTCTGAGTTATTTGGATAAGTATGTCTTCTGAGCATTCTGTTGCGACACTCGTTTTATTTTTTGTTAGAATTAAGGAAAATGACAAATGGGAAACAGAACAAATAGTAACAGAAAAAAATCCTTTATAACCTTTCCATAACAAATCGTAAATGTTCTAGAACTATCCAGAATATTATGCCACCTCATGTGATAACACAGGGTAGATTGATCACCTGAAATATTCAGGGAATACCGTCCTATATAAGGAGTACTGTTACACAATTTATTAAATTTTTTTTATACAGTTTACAATGCATTTTCGTGAGACTAAAGTTGCCGATCTATACAATGAAATATGAACAAATCAATTAAGATAACTTGAAGTTCTTGTATTGCACTATTACATATTTTTTTAATCCTCGTTAATCCCACACCTTTACGTTGCTATTCACCTTTAAAGACATGTCTGAAACAAAATGATGCACAGAATGCCAAACTACTAGCTCGACTAAATTTCGTTTGTTAAAGGGAGAAAAATGAAAAGAAGCTGAAAACAATAATTTAGTGAAGGTAACATGGAGGGAAGGTATTCTTTTATGTAATATTTGTTATATGCATTTTGTAGAAAACCCCTTAAAAAGGGCCTAAGAGAGTAAAAATTACGGAAGAAGAAGCCATGGATGAAAACATCGCGAATACAGAAGGTATGAAAGTTGATCTTATTGGAGCCATTAAAGTGATAACAAAAATTTTTTACAAGAGAGAACATGTAAAAGAAGAAGGTCCTATATATGCATTTGATGAAATGCGAAAATTATTTCAAGAAATTGAACTGAGCTTAAAGGATTTCTTTGACCAACTATATTTTGCAGCTCAGCCATTCAGACGTAATGAGCAAATGATAGAACGTATAAAAAAATTAATGGTATTCATTTGTTATCTTCTTGTATCATTGAATAACATAAAAGTCAACTTCTTTAAGTTTGATATTGCATATTATTTAGATTCAGTAGGCACAAGTAATGAAGGTCTGAATACGATGACAAATATTGGCATGATTACGACGGCAAGAGCAATAGATCGTAGAAAAAAAAGGATATTAGATACACATAAAAAATATGTAGAGAATGCTCTTGTAAAATATTCAAATAATACTTTTGTGTTAAATATCGATGATTATCACAATATTCACGTTCAAAGGTATCCTGATACTATGAATACATCTTGGGCGACGCATATGGCAATGATCATAGCAAATTTGTATTTCACACTGGTGATACTACATAATAGAGCAATCAATCTAAAAATCGTTGATTATGAAGTGATTGCAAGACATCTTGATAGGCAATTTATCGTAAACCTTGAGATATCTTATCATGATCATAGTTGTATGCAGAATTACATAAAAAAGAATGCTCTGAAGATGATCTTATAAAAAGGCTAATGTTATATAGTTATAATGACAGGCTGGCAGAAAGGAAGAGTGGACGTCATGTACAGAATGCTATTCTTGTTGATTTTGTCAAAAGCAGTTTGAAAAGTGTAGAAGCATATACGAAAGCTCTTCAAATTGTGTATGATCAAGAACTGATGCAAGCGTATCTTTCTGATCACATAATTCCTATTATTGCGAACTGGCCTGGTCAGTTTTTCATTTGCAAAGCTATTGCATATTGACTTCTTCTAAACAATGAAATTATCCCTCTATTTGTTATGTCATTTTGCCTATTATAGATCCGCTTCATGTGTCTCTAAATTCTCGTGAATTGGTTTTCTTAAAAATTCAGTTTTTTTTCAACGAAATTTATAAAGGAATATTTGAGACAAATAAGGATTTTAGTAAGACGCCACGATCATAGAGAATTGATTTAATTCTCCAAATTGTACATATAGTGTGAGTTTATATAATCGATGCCGTTTATTTAAAGTTTGGCTATACTTGTAAGAATATAGAATTTTTATACTTAACTGACCTATTAGACAACTTAATTCCTTTAGTTCTTGATATTTACGCAATCTATCATTAAGAAGAAAATTGGTTGACTTACAAAGAAGCTTGCATGTGTTGCTAGAGCGATCTATTTCTTCAGTTTGATCGAAGAAATTATAAGCATGCTTAATTAATATTTTTTTCTGATATATTTTATTGGATGAAGACTAATCATCCGATGTTTTATATGTTTACTAATCATCTTACTTTACTAAGTGATTGTCCTATAGAAATTGTTCACAGCATTATCTGATGATGTACTGCCAAATTTTTTACAGCTGAACAATTGCAAAAGGAAACGCATTTCATTTTTCAGCATTGGAAGGACAACACTTTCTGATAACATTTTGTGAATTCTGTAAAATACCTGTATACACCAAAGCAATTGCACATGTTTTCTAAGAAGTGTACTATATTGCTTTTAGATGCATTTACGAAAATATATCAAACGAGTGACCAGTATCCTTTAATTATTGAATCTTTATCTGATGGTATTAATAAATATAAACTTTTATCATTAGGTTACGAGATAACTGATTGCCATCTTCTGAGAGACTTCGTTACTCCCAGAAAATCCAATACAGCCATTCTATGCGATTATACACATTGTAATAGTAATTCACTTAATGGCAAAGTTCTGGCGTGTGGTCACAGTTATCATAGTCTTTGCTTGCAAAAAAGTCAGTTTAAATGCTTTATATGTCTCAATTATCTTCAGGGTGAAGTTAGAAAGAATATCAATGTATCGATAACAAGTTTAACAAAAGATTTAGGTAAAAATGAATTTATAGATAAAAATAGCAAAGAAGTAGATGAAGATGATTTGAGTAATGTAGAAGAGGCAATAGGTGATTTAATAATAACAGAAGGTTTATTAGAACAAATGAAAAAATTATTTCTAGAATTGTAAATTTATTTGATATGTATGAATTTTCATAATGTTTATATAAATTATATTAATAATGTTAATTATAGTAATCATTATGGTTATATTAATATTGATATGTAAAAATTAAAATGATTCTTTGATATCATAATAATCCCAAATTCTTTAATCTAATTAGTTGTTTAACATGTGATAATATCAAAATTTTACGATTTGATTAGCTGATTACACATAATAAAATTGAAATTTTATGTAACTAGAATGGTCTCCTCTGGATATAATTATCCTTCTTTGTTAATTTAATGCTATCTTCTTTATAGCAGGGACCATCATTCACTATAACATAACTAAAGTACTTATCAGAGTCAGGGATCTTTATATTTTTTTCTCCACTTGTTATTCTTTTTCTCATCCATTCCATAAATATTTTATTATATGTGAGACCTCCTTTAGCCTTCCATTTAGATATTGCAATAAACTGGTTAAAATTCCACTGTTTAAATCTAATATTTTAGAGAACATCTTTAACAATTTTTTGAATTGGACGTGTATTATTGATACTTATAGCCTCCCACATAATCTTTTCTCTAATAAACCTAAAGAACTCAGAATTCCCTTACTTTACAGTATCAATTTCTTTTTTAAAGAGATCATCTAGTCTAAAGTTTACTTCATCTTTATACTCAATTCTAAAGTATTTCTTTTTGCCAGTAAAGCAGATAAGAAATAATACCTCTTTGTATGTCATCTTTAGATAAGAGGTCTCACTTTTATCCTAAGATAAGCATTTATTTGATTGCACAATTTTTTCATTATATCTATAGTAATTTTGATCA